ATTATGCATATATTGTTCGGCAGACTCAAAATTGGAACTAAATCAAATAATTAAGTGTCATGAATCACCGTATGCGGTTAATGGCTGAATCAAACAATAAAACTGGAACTCAAAATTGATTTTAATGGCTGAAAAATTTGGAAGCATATCAAGAACAATCAGCCACACCCAAATAAAATTGTGAACAACCGTACGTGGCTAATTCCCTAAGATCACATCAACCACACTCAAATAAAATACCCCATAATAAGTTAATAAACAAAAATACTCCGTAAAGTTATATGAATATCAATCGGAAAAAAAAAACATCAATCCAAACATAATAGATTGATCGGCAAAGTACAGTACCGAATGAATAAAATTGTTGATTCCACGTACTTATTGCATACTTTATCACTATTGCGATTTGGAATAAGTATATACAAAGAAAGAATACAAAAGCAGCATCCCAAACGAGACTGCCTCGACAGATTTCAATCGCTGATTCAGAAAAGAAAATATGAAACATCATACTCAAACATAACGATTCCGTTTGATCATAAACTGCCGATTCCTGAATACATTAGGAACGAATTGCTTAAATGCAAAATCACATTACCCTTATTTTATTTAATCGGCAGATCATATGACAGAAGAAATATCTCAAATTCAAAAGTATGAATACTCCAAATAATTCAATATGAAGGAGGCTCTGATACCAATTGTTGGAATAAATCCGATAATACTTTAATCTTCATATTGAAATTATCTAGAGAAATTAACTGAGCGGAAGCGTACCTGACTCCATGGGAGATGATCTTTAGGGATCCGGGAGACGGAGGCTAGGGTTTGCGTCTTCTAGTTGATACACACCCTCGGGATTATCTCTCTAGCGATGGGATGCAGAAAGACGGAATGACGTGTACAACTAGGGACCATAACCCCTTATTTATAGAGAGTGCTTAACCCTAATCAGCCCATCATTGATTAGGTCAAGCTCATGGGTCTCTACACATTTGGACCCTATACCTTATTAGATAACTTATTAGCCCACTTAAATTAATATCCATAGGACCACTAATTTTTGGGCCTAAATATAAGATAACATATAACATACAATCAAACCCGATAAATAATATATTGTGAATATTACATGCAATATAAGTCCAATAATCTAACAATTTTTGTTTGAAGTCTCAAATCAGACTTTTAAAATGGACTATAATTTTCTAACTATTGGTATCTAATAAAACTTGAAAACTAGGTATTGAATTTTGCTTGGACAGTCATTTTTTTAGTAGATTGCTTTTAAGTAATCCGTATCTCGGAATAGATCAGTTTTTGACCGTGTTTGGTGTCTATTTATTTCTCAAATAATATCAAGGTCTTGGAAGTATTTTACATTTATCCTCTTTCAAAAAACATGTACGGGGCTTTGAATGTAGGAATGTGATCGAATATTACAATAAACAATATTAATGTAATTAGTTACTCCCTCCGTCCAATTAAGATTGTCTCATTTTACCTTTTTGAGAAGTCCCACTAATATTGTCTCATATCAAATTTGGTAAATATTATGTGGCTCTAAACTATTCTTACTTTATCAATTTAATATCAACCACACAAACCCATTTTTTTTAATAATCGTGTCACCTTCTCTCGTCCCAATCTTAGTGGGACGAAGGTAGTATTACATACTCTCTTCGTCCCAGAAAATTCTTCCTACTTTGACTTGGCACGGAGATTAAGAAAGTGGAATAAAGTGGAAATGTGTAGTTGTAGTTGTGTAAGAAAAATGTGAAATGAATGTGAACCACACAAATTGTCCAAAAATGATAAGTGAGAAGAATTTTTTGGGACGACCGAAAAAGAAAAGTGAGAAGAATTTTATGGGACGGAGGGAGAATTTCCTTACCATATATCTCAATAACAGGATATTTTTATTTTTTGTATGAATGTGTGCATAATACGTAGTACATTTAGAAATTATAAATTAGTATGAGTTGGTCGTCCTAGAAATAATAATATGTACGGTGCATAACCAACAAGAATATTATAAATTAAACGCAAGTACTAGCACAATGTTTAGAAATTAGAGCTATACTAGAAATTAACAATGCCTATCTCTATATAACACATCATTTTCAATATCACATCAACATTTACTTCATTTTTTCTTTGAAAATTTACAATACCCAGAAAAGCGACGGGGTCGATATTTTGTCCATGAAAACCACAACACTTGGTCGTCCTTCTCTCTTGCAGTTTAATGTCAAGAATTTAAGTTTTGTGCGGAAGAAACAAAGAAAGACCACCGGCCCCTTTAGTGACCTTTTTTTTTACTTGTGACGCTTATAGTCATCTTTTTTATTAAACACGTAATTTTTGTTTTCACAGATTGAATTGTGTAATAATACAAAAAAGTAATGTTGAGTTACTTTTATGGTTATATTGACTGAAGTTACTGTGAAAGATCATTTTAGCTATTTTTCATATAATTTTTATTTGAGTTATTAATAAAAAATATTTTAAATATAATTTTTTCATAAATTAGCAGAATCAGCCAATACAACCACTTCACTCAGAACATCATAAATTTCAGCAGAATCAATCAATTCAGTCAATTTCAATGTTACCAAACGAGCTATACATGTGTACATGTGTGACAACTCATACTAATCATTGTTTCTTTACCAGTTTAATTAAGTGAACTAAGAGCATCTCCTATGTCGTCACTCATCAATATGGCACATTACACACGTGGCATGAGAACGATAAACACATGTGGCATGAGAGAGATAGACACATGTGCACTGTCTGACATTGTATCAAATTAAAAATGACTCTAATTTTATGTTCAATATTTAACCTTGTTGATAAAAAACCATTAGATGTAAATCACATTCTATATTTTCAAATTCAAATTACTATTATGCTATTATAACTATTATTAATTGAATATACTTGATTAACATTCGAATCGAATATGTTGATATTCTTATTTGTATTTGATAACAATTCGAAGCAAATTTAGTGTTTTTATTTGTATTTGTATTTGAATTGGAATAGCCTTATATGAATTGGAATCGCGAACCAAACATATATTATTTGATTCGTATAAACTCAATATTTATAAATTAACTACTCGGTAAAACTGTAATACTCCGTAATTACTAAGCGCTCGAAATGAATGGTAAATAGGTTATACACGGAGGGTTAATCAAGAATAAGACCTTTTCGTTATTTTGACCGAGGTTGGAAGCAAAATATGATCACATGGTCATTAACAATTTTTTTTGGAAATGGTTATTAACAAAACCAAGCATTCCAGCCTAGCTGGTTGCAAAGTTACCGTGCCTAGTAGAAGGTCTCAAGTTCGATTCCCGCTAGGCACACAAGAGTTTGAAACTCAATAGAGTGGGTTTCAGCCCTGATTACTCCAGCCCCCAGCCCCCCTAGAGTAAAAAAAAGGTTATTAACAATTAGAAATTGAAGCCTTAGCAAGACAAAAACAATCAAATAAATATATTGTGAGAGACAAACTAGCTATATTGAAAAACAGAAAGTTAGTTGTATGGCACAGAGTATATAGGACGTACTTCGTACTCCCTCCGCTCCCGAATCAAATTCACACTTTCCTTTTTGGCTAGGTCTAAAATAAACTTCACACTTCTTCTCTCTTTCTTATTTGGCAAATTATCTACATCAAAACAGTGCAAAACAGTGCCAAACAGTGCAAAACAGTGTCGCAGCAGTGCACTCTACAGTAAAATCAAATTTATCTTCTTAATTTGTGTGAAGTCAAACACTGAATTTCCCATTTCAATCTTTACATACACTTTCCTTTTTGGGAAGTCTCATTTATTCCTATACGTTTCCTTTTTGGGCAACTCCTTAAATGTCCTGACCACCCTTCACTACTCATCCATTTTTTACATCAATTTTGATCTTTGTACACCTTTTTATACCCATTAGTACACCATATATAAGAACCAAAGTAAAAAAAAATTACCCCTTTCTCCACTCAGTCCCACGTGCGGCAGTCTCCCTCCCCAAAAAAATCAACGCAACCACCCACTCTGTCTTCTCTCGCAGCTTCTATAACGGGGAGCTTCTCTCGCACCCCAAAAAAATCAACACAGTCTCCGGTTTTCTTGCTACGGACGACCGGGAAGCTTGTCTTGGACCATGGCAGATGTTAACGAAGATGAATTTTGGACCTTTTGGGATGCAACTGCACAGAGTTCTCCAAATCAAAGAAACGTCAGTGGTAGCTGGAGAAGGTGACGAACAATGTAACACCGTCCCCAATTATGTTTATTTTTTTTGTAAATCATGTATTGAACCCTATGAACAGGTTAATGAATTTACGAGGTTGTAAATTTTTGTTATTACTTTCTGCGTGAATAGTGAATTGCACGCGGGGCCCACATCGGGAGCGGGGACCACCCTATATTTCTGAGACCACGTATTATGTTCATCTTGGTCTAGATGATGTGTATATGGTGGTGGATATTTTAGTTGGGCCATAGAAAGGGCATAGGGTTGACCCATTGGTCAAACGAGGCCCAATTACCGGTATTGGTAATTTATCGGATAACAACCCGAAATGAATTTCAGAGACTTCTAAATTAAAGTTGGGGAATGTATAACTATTCTAAATTTCAATAGTGATTAAAAACACGTGTTATATTTTATTTGACCCGATAAAATAAAATATAAGTAAAACAGTTCAAGAAATACAACTTTCGCGGCCGAATGTACATTTCAGGACAAATTGGGATGACCTCCCACATGAGTGGGGGCCACCCCACGTTTTTGTGTGCTCAAAGTTGACTAAAGGGGATGGATTATTGGAGAGTGTGGTGTAGAATAGGTGAGGGGATGGGTTGGTGTGAGGATGACATGAGGTGGACCTCACATCCTACACTCATTGGCCATTTGAGACAAAACTACTCTCACAACCCCCTCCCTCCTATAAAACTCGACCAAGACCAAAGGAAAAAAAGGAAGGAATCTCCAAGTCCATCCTCCATTGCTGCAAATCAAGTTCAAGCAAGGTTGGTCCAAGGAAGGTGATTAAAGAAGGGAAAAGTTAGTAAAAGTGTGAAGGATTAAGGTAATAACCTTATAATAACTTTTCCTCTACTTTCATTTTATCATATGGCTTATATAGAATATGTATGACCCCTAGGCTTTTTCTACATGTTTAGAAATGTAGAATGAGGGGTTGGAAGATAGTTCTAAGTCCAAGAATGGACTTAGAAGCCAAAGTGACCGGTTCACCGGCAAATAACCTTTTAGAGGTTATTTGTGTTGATATGGGTTTTGTGATGATAAAACCTTGTTAGGAACTTGTATAAGTGGTTCCTAGATCTTTCAAGGAGTTGAAAGGGTCACCGGAGTCATCGCCGGAGTTCTTCAAAGTTCGCCGGAGTTTCGCAGGAGTTCAACCGGGAAGGGTAGAACTTCATAAAGCTCATTCGAGGTGAGTGGAAGACTTAATGTCTTGTAACTCTTGGGTTAAGTATAAGATTACCTAAGGAAATGTTATAAGTATTCATAATCATGTTTAAAGGAACTTAAGCATGTGGTTAGGCAAGGTAATTTGGCTTAGGTAAATGATACTACATGAATATGCATGTTAAAAGTATAAAATGTGTATAAGAACATATGTGATGTTTTGGATGGTTAAAATGGGATATTATGATTGTTTAAGACCCCATACATGTTGTATAAAAGTTTCGGACAAATCGGAGATCATCCGGGGGGTTGACGGACCGCCGACGTGTGGCAGACGGTGAACCAGCGCCGGCCATAGGGCTGAACCGACGCAGGCTAAGCCACTGGCTGGCCAGTCTGGGTATTTTGATACATACCCGGCGCCAGGTATATGGGTAACCGGCGCCGGTTAAGCTGCTGCCCCAAATTTTTGGTTTCGCCGAAAACGCGTATCAAGGCCCGGTTTGAGAGGGGATAAACCCCGGCCATCCTATATAAGTTTATTGTGCATGAAATTGCATGGAATATGATATTTAAATGTCAAGTTTGATATCTAACGATTAAATTCTAAGACTTGGTTTAGTCTTTACAAACGATTATGATATAGACGCTAACTTTGCATGATAAGCGGTAGGTCATTGATGTGAAAGTAAGATGGTGGAGACCCAAGGACGACGGTACTGTCCTCAAATTTCAAATGTATAAACGGTGGAGGACCCAGGGACGACGGTACTGTCCTCAAAACTTTAATGTATAAGAATGGTGGAGACCCAAGGACGACGTTACTGTCCTCAAACCTCAAATGTATAAACGGTGGAGACCCAAGGACGACAGTACTGTCCTTAAATCTCGGTATATGAATGGTGGAGAACCCAAGGACGACGGTACTGTCCTCAAAACTTGGAATATGAATTGACTAGGGCCAAGAGGAGTCCTACACACTCATAGGTATATGGGTGGGTTGGGTTTGAGTCAAGGATATTGACTACTGCCATTTTCACTAATAAACAATGACCTACGGGTCTGGTATTTCCAAGTGTATATATACTGATATGTATTTTATAACTTGGGGAAAAGTACTATACGTGTATGTATCACCCTATGCTTGGGTCTTATACTTGAAACGTTACTTACACTACATTTAGCTTGCTACTCGCTCGGTACTTGTACTGACTCCTTTGGGAGCCCCCACCATTTTCAAGTTGAAGCTAGGGCTTGCTACCTGCACTTTCTTACAGGTGAAGTCAACTCAAGGATGACGTGGTTCGTGCTTCCTTACTTCCTTTCAAACTACCAAACACTTGCTCATGGATATTTGATTTACTATGAACTATTTTGGGCCTGTGAGCCCATGTCTTGGCCGGATGTGGCCCATGCTTTACCGTTGAATATTTCCGCTATTCATTGGATTAAATGTGATGTTGTTATGTATGTTTACTACTGAGTATGGATGGATTATGTTCATGGACGCCTGGTATGACCAAGTCACGTTGACTTGCGGGTGACGTCACTTGGTTATACGGCGGTTGTACACGTGCTTAGATGCGGTCTGGGGCGTGACAGACAGACCTCCGTAGCTGCAGGACTTGAAGGACAGACCTCCGGAGCTTGCACCAGTGAAAAAGATGACGGAAAAGGGGCCCAAACTCGAGAAGACGATGGACCGACGTTGGAGGCTTCCATGGACATGGTGTATGAACCGGGTAGGACTTCATCTTGTTTGTATGTCGTTCTGTGTGTGTTGTAAATTGGTCATGTTTGTTTGTGTAGTGTATGAAACTTTGTCTGTGAAATAGTTAAAGTTGTCTGTATTTACATAAACTGTCTGTGTCAGCTAAACGTATACTATATGTTAATTTTTTTTTTTAAAATTGAATATTGTACCATCATAGATGCACATGGTCAGAGAAAGGATATTGAAGCTCCGAATGTTGGTATGAAGTTGGATATGAAAGAAGCCGTGTATGATTTTTACAAGACATACGCGAAGAGCATGAGATTTCCCATAAGAACTAGGAGTACAATCAAAGACAAAAATGGAGTAGAGATTGCAGTGGTAATGGAGTGCTCACGCGCAGGGAGTCGAGGTAGTAAGGCACAAAATCAATTGAAGCCCCAACCATCAATGCAAACCGGGTGCGGAGCTAGAATACGGGCGCGCACAACTTATAATAGCTCATGGGAAATTTCAAAAATATCTCTACAACATTCCGATCTGATGAGTCCAACAAAGGCTCGCCTATTCTGACGTAATAGGAGATTGACTCATATAACTTCATAAAACATTCAACTCGGCCGTTGTTCAAGCTGGTGGATATGATGAACTTCGCTTTATTGAAAAAGATTGTAGAAACTACATTGATAAGGTGAGACAACTTAGGCTAGGGAGTGGTGATGCAATGGCAATTCAAGGGTTCTTTGCTACTATGCAAGTCCAATGTTCCAGATTTTTCTATAGCCTTGACATAGATGAGGAGTCAAGATTGCGGAATGTGTTTTGGGCGAACAATCGGTGTAGGTATGCTTACAAATATTTTGGAGATGTCATCATGTTTGACACGACTTACCTTGTGAATATGTATGACATGCCTTTTGCCTCATTTGTTGGGGTCAACCATCATGGCCAATCTATATTGCTAAGATGTGGATAAATATCTAATGAAGATACAGACACTTTCGTGTGGCTATTTAAAACATGGCTCGATTGCATGGAGGGATGTGCTCCAATGGGAATTATTACGTATCAAGATCGTGCAATGCAAAATTCCATTAAGATTGTTTTCCGAAATGCCAAGCATCAGTGGTGCCTATGGCACATAATGAAAAAGGTACCCGAAAAACTTGGAGGCCTTGCACAAAAAGATGATATCCTAGATGCTCTACATGAGTGCGTTTACGACTCCCAATACGTGCAAGAATTTGAGCATAAGTGGATTGAGATGTTACGAAGGTACAAGTTTCTGTAATTTTCACAGACATATATTTGTTCGCAGACAAACATATTTGTACTTTACAAACATAAATTTGTCTGCGGTCAGTAAGTTATTCTATGTAATCATTTGTAAAGTGTTGATAAATTCATTTCAGGTTTTCACTTCAAGATCTGAATGGCTCAATGTAATGTACAACGAAAGAACGTGGTGGGTACCGTGCTATTTAAAGCCAACATTTTGGGCCGGCATGTCTACAACGCAACGAAGTGAGAGCATCAATGCTTTTTTCGATTCCTCTTTCAATTCCAAAACAACTCTCAAACAATTTGTTGAACAATACGGACGTGCGTTGTGAAACAAGGTGGAAAAAGAGTTTCATTTCGAAATTAATTCTTTTACCAAAAATATATCATGCATTACTACATATTCCATGGAGAAACAAGTGCAAAAAATTTACACCCTAGCTAAGTTCAAGGAGTATTAAAATCAAATGGTTGGCAAGGTTTATTGTGATCTCTTGCTATGTGAGGATGGTAAAAAAATCATGGTCAAAGAGGACAAAATTAATGGGTTGGATAAAAGTGTGAACTTCTATGTGGAGTATGACCCATTAACTAATTTTGGAGTTTGTAGTTGTCACTTATTTGAATTTCGAGGTACGGTGTGTAGACACTTGATTGTGGTCCTACGTCGGGTTGGTTTGAAAGTCTTGCCCGATGCATACATCTTCTAAAGATGGAGGAAAGATGGGAAAAGAGCTTACCAAAGAGTGAAAATCAATTACGACGGGTGGATCACAACGGTGGAACAAACACGGTTTGACAAGTTATGCAAGACGTTTGAATCGCTTGCTAACATTATTGCCGATGATGAAGACAAGTACAATAGCGTCCTCCTATGATGGGAGACCCAATTATCAACATATACTCCACCGCTTTTTCATTCTTCCATAGGTGGCACCATCACACCCATACAACACCCTACCACAAGTGTGCAAGGCGAAGGTGAGGTTCCACTTGTGATCGGAGATCCTAAATGCTCTAAGAACAAGGGCGCTCCAAGGAAAAACCGACAAAAGGGGCAACTTGAAAAGGGGAAGAAAAAAGGGAAGGCTAGGAATGATAAAGCACAAACTCCAAACACACCGACCCAACATGGAAATGGTGAAGGTGCTAGTAACGCAGGTAGTGTGCCATGTATACACCCTAGTGGTTTAGATTTAAATTTATCTTTGTTTTGAATGCCTTTTGTATGATGTACATTGATATATACATACACACACACACACACACACACACACACACACACACACACACACATATATATATATGAAGACCCAGCCAGTATTATTTAAATGGAAAATTTTATGTCCTACGTGAAGACACTCGTGACCAATTTCAGTATTATTGGTAAGTGCACCTCATGTTTATACCTCACAGACACAATCATTAAATACACAGACAAATGGTTATACCTCACAGACAGATTATGTTAGGACACAAACAATTGTTTATACCTGCACAATTGTTTATATGTCACAGGCACAATCAATATATGGTTAGCATAACCAAAATAAGTGTATGTACAACATAAGTTATGGCCAATATAGGTCAACTTTACAAAACAACGTTTGTATTGCATAAGTTATGACAAAAAAACTAGGCAGCACAGCGTTTGTATTACACAAGTTATGATAAAAAAAGCTAGGCAGCACAACGTTTGTATTGCACAAGTTATGACAAAAAAAAAGCTAGGCAATACAGCGTTGGTGTTACATAAGTAATCTACGATGTAATCCGCCTCACACGCCAGAGCCATTCAACAAACTCCCATCGCTTTGAGTGCAGCTTATCATACTCGCGGTATGGCCTCAAGGGTACATCACACATCAATGCCTCAAAAAAGGTCGCAACAATGACACCACAATCACTACTTCTGCAAATACGAAGTCATTTAAACATTAGTATGAAACACACAGACACAAGACGACCTATACAGACATTATTAAACACCTCACAGACAAAGATTTACCCTTTTGTTGTGGGACATCATTCACTGCCTCCGCTCTCCAAGGTACCATGTTTCCTGTTTGACATACATCGTGGCTACATTTTATCTCCCTACATAGGTGTGGCAATCGAACACACAAATGGGCCACAGATGAAGCCGTCCTACTCGACTTCAATGAGTCGTACACTCGGACCACTCTATGAACAATGTCAATCTTTGCAAGAACCCAATGTTTACCTTGCCAATTGAAGGGGGTGAAAACCTGAAAATTCAAAACATATAATTAAGCAAATAAAAAAAGACAGATCTTAGAAGACGAGCAAATCAAAAATAGCAAATATTTGTGGGCTTACCTTTTCTATAACTGTGACGTGACCTGACGTCGTTGTCTTTAACCCACACACACCACATCTTGTCATTCCCTGGATCCTTCTTCAGAAGTTGACGCTACAAAACAAAGTTAATATGTTCTAAATTTCTGTGATTAAATTTAGGTGTTCACATTTAATCAATTACATACCAAAAAGTAAGGACTCATTAATTGATAGTGCTTCTCCACCATGCCTTTGGCAAAGAGATACATAAGTGAATCCAAGTCCTACAATGAAATGATTAGTATGTATGCACTGAATTAACGCACGCACACAAGTAACTAATGAGAAAATGTAACTGATGACTTCATACGTTGTCGCTACCTGATGGGTTGCCTTTTCTAATCAACTGAATAATTAGGTCCTTCATTTCAGAAATCCTATCTTCAAATGCATCAATCCGCTTTTCCATTCTTTGAAGACACGTACACATTTCCTGTATCTGCTCCATGATCTTTAAATTATGTAATGATTGGTCATCTTCATCAGATTGTCCTCCATCAGAACTGGAACCTTTTTCTTCCTCCTACCATAAAGGAAATGATATATTACTTCTAAAAGAGAATTGTAAACATTAAATCCAAAAAAACATGTTTCACATAAAAATATTCAATGTGTATTACATCATAAACATAATTAATGACACATACCTCAGGAAAGACGATTTTTTTAAGCTTTGTCATCCTGAAGATTCTATCCACACTCCAGTTTAATATAGGCACCTCTGTATCACCCACCTTCTTGCCAAAGTGTTGCCCAAGTTCTGGTATAGTTTCGTACGCCCAAACCTATAAATAACACAAAACACAGAACATCATTGTCTGTGTATAGCCCATTTTTTGTTTGTAACCAATATGTAGTGTCTGTGTACAACGTATATTGTCCGTAAAATACAATTACATTAACCTCACAAACACATAAGTTTATAAATACATAAATAAATAAAAAAATTAATAAACAAACACATAATTGTATTTTTGATACCAGTAGAACTAATGGAGCGCCATAAACAATGAACTTTGTGTTTCGATAACTCGAATTCTTTGCCTTGCTTTCTTTAAACTTCTTTGGTAGACCAGTCATTAAACCCTTCAAATCAGTGACCAATAAATTGTAAGACTCCTTAGCCCACGGGTAAGCTTTGAATTCGTCGAAATCATTGACCAGTCTTACGTAGTTAGGATTTATCCCCGTGGTTCGGTCTTTTGCTAGCAACACACACTAAACATAGTACAAAGAGGTCAACTTCACAGCAAGTATTGGATCACCTCATTTGGAAGGCCTTAATTTTTGAAATATTTCCTTAAACTTCTCAAAGGTAGTATCCACTGAGCCACTGAGGTATTTTCTGCCACCTCCCCAGGTTCTTTCTCTTCGACCTCATCTTCCCTAGCTTCATCTTCCTCAGGTGAGGATGGCATTTGGCCTTCCTCGGGTGAGGATGGCATTTCGTCTGTATAGGGTAATCCAGTTATGTGACAATAATCAACAAAGGTAAACTTTAAGACCTTTCCTTGAACGCAAAACCAGAGTTCATCTTCTGGTTGTTCCTCCACAAGGCGTAAAAACAACATATGAACTATTTGGGCAGAAAATTGAATCTTCGGGACATCCACAAGATGGCCCCATGGTAGCTGGCGGAACAGTTGCAATTGTTTGGCGGATAAGCATGATTTTATCAGATTAGATGCTTCATTATATTTTCCACACACCGAGTACTGAGCTGAGAAATAGTCTTTAAGCGGAATTTTTAACTTTAGAGTCCTGTCACAGACAGAATCACGAGTCACATACAATACATAACAATGTACAGACCTAATGAATAACAATGGTTTAGAAAACCCTGATACAGATGAAGTGAAGGAAGTTTCAAATGATGATATGGTATCAGAAGTTTCAAATGAGTGCCGAGTTAGTATATTACATATTCTGTTGATATATTGGAATCCACCCATTCATAACATTTAGTGCTCATAGCCTTTGGAATGAAATGTCGTAGAATGAAATAAGAATCTAACCAATAAGAATCCACCCATTAATCTTAATAACTATCCAAAACATGGAATTTTCAACTGCAAATCCGATTATATCAAGCTCTGCTAGGTAGAACTTGTTTTGAAAAATATAGATTATTCTGTTTCCATTAATCTATAGAGTTTGTTCTGTAAAATGGATAAGAGCCCAAAATAAGAGTACAACAAAACCCTAACCTTTCCTCCATTCCCGTCTTTAACTTCTCAGTCGGTCCCAGGGTGACTTCCTCAAGCTTCGTTCTCCGATGGCCGCCCGACGACAGGTACTGACTTCTCCGTTGGGCGTTAGGATGCAAGGGAAGGCTGTGATGTTTCGTTGGGAAGGATTTCGGACGAGAGTTTTGTGGATGCGGAAATAGTTCAGAGCGGGAGTTTGATTTTGGGGAGGGAGTATCGCACTTGGGGTTGAGGTGGGGAAATGGTAATTTTTTAGTTTGAGCCTTTATATATGGTGTACTAATGGGTATAAAAAAGTGTACAAAGAGACTTTTTATTTTTACATTTGAGTGGATAACATTAATTCTCCCCAAAAATCAAAGGGCATCATTGATATTTGTTCTTCTATTAATTGAGCTCTTAAAATAATGTGTCAAAAGCAAATGTTAAGTTCTATACGGGACGGAGGGAGTATAAGAAATATATTATTTAATAATACCTAGTAATTCATAATTGGGAGAACTATCAAATAAGCCCTCGAACTTTCATAAAAAGTGCAAATAAGACCTTTTACAGGAGGCTTTGTCCGGCTGTCACCATTTGGGGTGGTTTCCGGTGGAATGTTTTGATGAAATTTTTTGAGCATATTTTTCATTAAGTCTAGTTTACCCATACCAAATTTCAGCTAAATATTCAATCTATAAGGCAGTCAAATGATTTTCTGAAATATACTGCGCTACCTAACTGCGCAGTTATCTTCAAAAATTCATTTGACTACCTTCCCGATTGCATTTTTAGCTGAAATTTGGTGTCAGTAAACTAGACTTAATTAAGAAGATGTTAAAAAAAATTCATCAAAAAATTATATCGGAAACCTCCCCAAATGACAATGGCCGGACAGAGCCTCCTATAAAAGGACTTATTTGCACTTTTTATGAAAGTTCGAGGACTTATTTGATAGTTCTCCTTCATAATTTGTAAGACATCATTACATGTGGCCTTTGTTGTTGACTTCCTATTTTGTTGACTTCTTGAATGACTTGCAACTTGCAACTTCCTATTTTGTTGACTTCTTGAATGACTTGCAACTTGCAAGTTGCAATGTTTCTCCAACCTCGTTCATACACACATACAATGCAATTTATTACACAAACGTGGTAATGAATGGGAAAAGGAACTATCCGTTTTTATTTAGAAATTAATAATTATCTAAAATCCACAAAGTAATAATTAGATGCACGTGACCTCTACTTTTAATGAGCTAAGTGGTTAGGACTTGGTATCAAACTCAGAATGCATTTATTATAGTCTAGCTAAATTAAGGACTACTATATGGAGGACTAGTTAAATCACATTATCACATAAGATTTGCTTAAGTTTGTTAAACTTTAGTTTGATACTACCTCCTTCCTAATTTATTTTGCAAAGTCAACATTTTTTGATGAATCGATATTAAAATTATATCCTCCCTATTGATTAACAATTCAATTTTAATAATTAAAATTTATATATTCAGAAGTTACATTAAAATCTCTATAAAGTTGCATCAGCCAAATTAAAATTTAATTAAGAATTTATATCGGAATAAAGTGATTAGAAAGAAACTGGTTGACTCAAAAAAGTCACATTTGCAAATCATTTTCGGACGGAGGGAGTATTATTTGATCTTATTTTCACCCGTAGAAAACCCTGATTTGCGGCAGCTTTAAAGCTTCAAGTGTGGCGGTTTCTTCTCTAAAGCCCGGAAACATCAAGTATTGTAGATCTTCTTAGTAATCCTTACTTTAGATATTAATGTTTGTTATCCTAAATCCCAATAGATTAGGTCTACCACCCCCATTAAGCTTGTTCTTTGTTTTCAATTACTTATTTTCCCATGTTTTTTGTGACGGGATATCTTGTGAGGAGAGGTTTTTGGTCTAGTCTTCCTCTAAGAAAATGTAATTCCATATACTATCAATATAAACAATGAAAACAATAAGTCTAATTTCTCAAATACTTTACGTAAATAGTGAATATGTTTTGTTTCTAATATGTAAGGCCATAAAAAGTTTTAAAAAACATTTTTTTTGCCAAAAATATGATTTTTTTTGCAAAAAAAATCATTTTTTTTGCCAAAAAAATCATTTTTTTTGCCAAAAAAATCATTTTTTTTTGCCAAAAAATTCAGTTTTTGCCCCAAAAATTAAAATTTTTCAATAATAAATTGGTAAATAAAAAACAGTTAATTCAATTGTAATTTAATTAGTCAAAGATAAAAAAAAGTAAAATCACAATTAATTTTTTGTATTCTGACGGAGAGAAGAAAAGAAATGAACAAAATAAAAAAGAAAAATAAAGAAACAAAATCCAGACGACTTGAGGGAAAGAATGAAAAGGTCTGTATTGTTCCAAAAAGAAAAAAGGGTACCATACTATGATACCGATATACGATGCACATGGTACATCAATAACCCGATAGAATTTGAGATATTTTGAGGAGGGGGACTAGATTCATTGTTATTCTGATGCAGTGGAGGACCTAGGGGGGTCTTAGGGGACGCAAGATGACTCATTTTTTATCCAAATTATATCTTTCTTTCAAAAAGCCATATATATTACGATTGTATTTAGAATTGTCTTAATAAGCTCAAAATTTGACTTATAATCCATATGTGTTCATTGTTTGAAGCCGGCATTGAATAATCTATTTCCAATTAAAAATAATAATTTGAACGCACTTGAAAAAAAGACTAGTGATACACCCAATTCGATCCGACCCGACCCATTTCCATCTATGCAAGAGTGCCCCGCTTCAGAAAAGTTCTGGGTCCGCCACTGTTCTCATGTACGGAATATCATGTATGTGAAAAGGTCAAACAACACTGTTTCTTACTTGGCCATCACTCAAGACTTGAGTGGTATGGTAATGGTACATCTTTTGTTATTTGAATATTTGACCATATTTACTTGGCTTGGGGCTGAAGAAGCGGAAGGCGATTTTTGTGAGTCACTGCTTCCGTCACCATTTCTGTCTCATCCTCTGCCTCCCTCCCCTTTATATACACCCAGAAAGCCTTCTCGTCCTCCATTAATCGTTCCCGATCGGATTATTGATAATTAAATCAAATGGGAAGTTGGATCTCTTCGCTGGAAACTCGGCATAGAAGAAGGGAGAAGAAGAAGCACGCCTCCGCCGCCGCCGACGTGATTCTGACCAACGGAGAACTCCGGCAGTTCTCTGTTCCGGTGAGAGTTTCTCAAGTGCTATTCTCCGGCACAGAGGAAGTGCCGGCATTCTTCATCTGCAACTCCGACCGCCTCTGCTTCGACGAACATATACCCGCTATGGCGCCGGATGATGAGCTGGAGGCTGGTCAGATCTATTTCATTCTCCCCGCGAATAAGCTTTTGCACCGTCTGGCCGGATCAGAGATGGCCGCTCTCGCAGTCAAGGCCAGCGCCGCGCTTCAGAACAACAAAAATCGCTGCCGGGACAGTAAAAGGATGCATGGTACGAGGAACATTAGTAGGATTTCCCCTGTCATTGGTAGTCGTATTGAATCATCCTTATCGTCGTCTTTATCGTTATCGTCGTCGGGCCTAGGTGTTGACACGAGGAAAAAAGCGGCAATGAGGATGCAAAGATATTCTTCTCGGCGGGCTAAAATTGCGGTGCGCTCGTTCCGGCTCAAGCTCATGACCATTCAAGAGGACGGCTGATATATGTCATTGTCAGTCGTCTTCTTTGAATAATATTTGATTTCTAGGCGACAATTTTATAAGAAATCAAGCCTATGGCAGTATCGATGACTCGCCCCTCATACTTGAGACACGAATAAATGTTCATATGATCCCGAAAGTGTTCTTGTCCGGCTGTGGAAGTTCCATACTTCTTGAGAGCACAAATGTTCAAAGATTTGGTTCAGAGGCCTTTCCATTCACTTCTTGCCTATAGCAAATAAAACCAGTTCTATGGCCCGGATGAATGTCTTTATTACTCAAATCAAAACTTCTATCTTATCAGTATCTTCTACTCAAACTATGAGGACTTATGTTATATGGTATACCTTAGAATTGAGTAGAACTGTTAGTTAGATAACATTGTGTTCATGTCCACCACACGGCCTATGATCCGCTCAATCTGTTTTGAGATATGGTGCCATGTTTGATTCTTATCATAGCCTCCTTTACGTTGTCATCTATTTTTCATGTATGATCTAATATAAAAAAGAAGGAATCTTATCAATTCAAGACCTGAAAGATGAAATGTATCAGCATAAGACCCAAATGATGGAAAACTATCAATCTAGGACTCGAAAGATTGAAAACTATCAATTTAGGATCTAAGTTTTCATAAATTTTATTATTATTTTTATTTTAAACATTTAAATAATATTTAGTTTTATTAAATTAATAAACTTTTGTGAAGAAAATTTCACCAAATATTAGCAATGGAATTAATAAAAAATTAAATAAATCAAAACCTATGAAATGTTAGGTCCTAGATTGATAGTTTTCATCTTTCAATTCCTATACTGATACATTTCATCTTTCAGATCCCAGATTGATAATTCGACTATCTTTCAAGTTCCAGATTGATAAAATTCCAAGAAAGGAATTTCCCTTGATTGGACCAAAATAATGAGTGTACAACGATAAGAGTTAAGGAGTACATTATTTTCTTTCTAAATATTGAATATATGGTGAGATGAGGATTTGATGCACCGAACCGCTTGTTTATACGTAGTATAAATTTGACGCATTAGTGGTTTAAGAAATGCGTCAAACTTTAATGCCTATAATTAATTTTTTGCAAAATCCTTTTTATGATCAAATTAGTTTCCAAATTAAAGAAAAATGATTTTATTTTGCATAATTTAGTTATCTTGTCAAATTTACTTGCATATTCAATCATAATACTAAACAATTGATTTCAAATAGTCAAATTGGTTCCGAAAGGGGTTTTGGTGTTTTGCGCATGCATAATTAGGATATTTTCTTTTGGATTGTTTTTAGTCTTAGCTTAGACCGGATATGATTTAAACAGACCAAATCAGACAAAACCAGACTTAAACATGTCAGACCAGACCAAACTTGGACAATTATAAATTACACAGAGATCAGACATTTACCAAATCACACGATACCAATTTAGACCAGACGAGACCAGATTAGACTAGACCAACAAATTTTGGTCTAAAAGAAGACATCTTTATAACACAGATAGATTTAACACATTTCTTAAATCCCAAGAGTTAATGTGTCAAATATACCGAGTATTACACAAACACAGTAATGATGGCTTTAAGTAACACAAAATATCATTAGCATTACTACTCTAATTTAGGCGTGAGTTCGGTTCAAGCAGTTCGATTTTCACCTAAAACCAAATATCGAACCAAAATAAAAAGTTTATTTCGGTTCGGTTCGGTTCCTTTTCGCCATATTAGAAGTCATTATTTTTCTTCTTCTTTTTACCACATCTTTTTTTCATAATCTTTGACATGTTAGTGACTTGAATGACAATAAATTTATACTATCATGTTACATTGTTACTCATATTTTCAGAAGAAAAACATATACTTCCCCTGTCCCAAAAAGGTTGGCCAAAGTTAACTTTCATGTTGATTAATAAAGTAAAAATTGTATGATTTAAATTTGTACAGAGGAAAGAGAATTATTTTTAGCCACATATTCTTTACTTTAAATGGAAATCACAAATCTTTTTGGGACATCCAAAAAAGGAAATTTGGCCAACCTTTTCGGGATGAAGGGATAACATTTTAGAATTTGAAGTTAGACATTTTACATTTATTTCCGGAATTTATAAGCGATAGAAGTAGTATACGATAGTACTCCCTTTGTCCCAGAAAGGTTTGCCAAATTGACTTTTGTTGGTCAATGATGACAAACTTTGAACAACGATTTTAATTATTATATTTATACATTGAAGTATATATTTTAAATTTTATACTTTTATGAAAATATTTTAAATAAGGAACATTTTGATATAATTTTCATATTCTTAACAATTTTTTATTAAAAAAATATAATTGGTCAAAGTTGATTGACATTGACCAAGAAAAGTCAATTTGACAAACCTTTCCGGGACGGAGGCTGTAGGTAGATTTGAAGGTCAAACATCACAGTTGCTTATGTGGCCTTGACTCAAGACTTAAGTGGCATGATACGAATATTTGACCAAACTTGGGATGGCCCAGAATAACGTAAGAAGTGACGACCGCAGTGCAAAATAGCAAAACACTTCATCCGTCTCTCTAACTTTGTCTGGTTTGTCTCATTAAATTTATCTCATATCATAATTGATAATATTTAAATGATTACAATTCATTCTTACTTTATTCACACTTTATTCATTCAATAGCAATTATACAATTCTATTTTTTTTCTTAAAAATCATACCACCCCTTTTCGTTCCAAACTTAGAGGGATGAAGTATAATTTTGGTACCATCGACCATCTGATGTCCCTATCGGTGTCTAAATTGTTGCTAAGTTTTATGGTGGTTGACTTTTATTAATTGCAGCAGGTCAAACTGCCCTCCGTCCATCATACGGAGTATGAATGTTATCCAACATTTTACACCACAACGTAGCTCATCATTTAAAGAAAGAAAATGATCAATTGAGTATATCAACTTGTATAACGTGGAGTAAATTAAACAATACACTATATAACATCTGATTAGTAGCGGATCAGAGCTTTTGTTAAGAAGGGGCACTGCAAAATGGATAGAAATGGATTGGATCGGGTCACTTCGGGCAGAGCCGACTATAGGGCAAGTTAGGCCAGGCATCTGCCCAGGGCCTCACAGTTTAGGAGGACCTCAAAACAATTCTTCGCATGTATTACTCCGTAGTATACTCAGTATTTAGTAAATGGAAATTGGATTGGAACTTGCAACTTGCAAGTCTGCTCCCATACGTTCGTAATCCGTAGTACTGGGTACGTTTGGATTTTGGCGTTTCGCCATCCTACCCGCTGCAATTTGCAGCGTTTCACGTTTTATGTGAATGGCGATTTAGGCTCAAACGTCACTAGCCAAACACACTAACTGTCTTCCACTCTCACTACGACCTACCTAGCGACTTCTGAAGTTGAGTGGACTCCAAAGCTTAGCCGCCGGGCAATCAAATAATTCGTATGGGTGTTGAGTTAATGACTCAGCCCATTCACATGCTAAAGTTAGTTGTTACTCCGTATGTTGGTGCCGCAATTACATACTGAGTAGTTTGGTTTGTTACTTTTAATTTTGTGATTAATTAATTGACTTTGTCATTGTATAATTTTAATTTGGGTTTTGAAAAAAATATTACTAAAATAAAAGTAATTCAAGTTTAGTAAATTGAACATAAGTTACTATGATTTCATTACTACTTTTACATTACTACTTTAGTTACTTGTCACATTTTGTGTAAACAATCTTTATTTTAATCATAAATATATAATTATTTCTTTTAATTTATATGCATTTTTTGTTAATGATAAATTTTATGTTGAATAATTTATTATTAATATATGTTGCATTCTTTTTATGTGTTCTGTTAAGATTTATTTTTGCATTTTAATTAGAGCCTGTTTAGTAACACCAAAGTTGACTGAATCGGCCGATTCTGCTGAAATTTATGAAAAAAACATATTCAAATATTTTTATTAATAAAATAAAGAAAAAGTTATACAAAAAAACAAGTAAATTGATTCTCTTGATAAATATACTTCAACCTTACTTATTTTGATAATTACACAATTCAACACACGAAATCAAAAGTTGCGTGTTTGGTGAAAAGGTTGACCGATAAGTCAAAAACATGATCACTAAATTTAACTCTAATTACGTTTTCTCATATTTGCTTGATCAGTTATTTTGTTACTAACCATTTATAATTTTGTCTGTTAATTTTAGTTTTCTTTTTGATAAATATGTTTGTGAATTTTGTGTTTTATATTACCTCCGTCCCAATGGACTTTGCACTCCTTAAGTTAGGTGAGTAATAAGAATAGTAAAAATTGTGTGGTTGAAGTTTGTGCAGATGAGAGAGATGAGTAGAACCACAAAATAGTTACTTTAATGGGAAAGTGACAAAGTTTTTTGGGACAACCAAAAAAGGAAAGATGACAAAGTCCAATGGGACGGAGGGAGTATGAATATGTAGGTACAGTTATATGACGAGTAAATAAAAATTTGATTATGGATGATTCATAAATGTAAACCTTTTTTGCCTAGGGCCTCTAAAATGCTAAAGCCGGCCCTGACTTCGGGTGTGAGAATGGTCTATTCTGTCTCGCGCAGACAATTTTTTAAAGGGAAATAATTTATTCAATGTCGGTTCCAAGGGATGTATACCTATAATTTATAGGTCTACCTTCAACCTATTAAGACAAATTTATAGGTCTACCTTCAACCTATTAAGACAAATACCTATAATTTATAGGTCTAACTTCATCCTTGCACTGTTTATAATTTTCATATTATAAACAATGAAAAGTTAACATTATATTACAATTAGGTATGTATCTAACTGTAAGCAATCATTCCATCATAATTTCATTTAAATGTCTTATAACAATTTCTATATACTTTTTGAAAGGATTATTACATCATCTAATAGCTATACAAAGTATTTTTTATCCGGACACTACAAGAAATCTCACATTTTATGACAAAAACATGTGTGACACACAAAAAGTTGTCACATTAGATTGAATAATAGTGACAAAACTCAAATTCGTCACCGTAAAATGATTTATTATGACAATATTGTTTCCTGTCATTTTAACTCTTACATTTCGTCGTTAATTGATATCTATTGTGACGATAATATCAAATTTGTCACTTAATTTTTGAGCGCCAAAATTTGACGAGAAAAATCCGGCGGAAATTTGTTTATGACAATTCAGAATCAATTAGTTACGATAACTTTTGTCATGTAATTTTTATTTATTATGACAAAATCATATTTTATCATTAATTATGTGGTGAAATAATGACAAAATTATTTTGTCATTGAAGCTCTCTTTTGATGACAATAAATGTAAATGTGTCATAGTTTATTTTATTATAAATTATTTTTTAAGAAAAATCAGAGCACATTTTTTAAATAAAAACTTTAATAATAGTGGATAACATACAACATTTTTTTCTCATATTATTTATGATTTTATTTTAATGAAAGCATAAAAAAGATAAGTAGTTTTGGAGGTTGGATTTCTTTTAATTTTAAATTCAGCACA